TGAAGGGGAGGAGGTCGGCTGGTGAATTGGCGGGAATGGTAGTGCTATCGGAAAATTTTTCCCAAAAAATTTTTCCGCAAAAATTTTTTTACCACTATTTCTATATCATACCAAGAAGATACTAACCCTTCGAGTCGCTTCAACACAGAACAGAATGAACAGAGTTTCACCCGTGAAAAAGATATTAGAATTCTGTTATCGGCGATCGCGGTAACATATACTTCCTATAGTTAACATGGAGTATTAGCATTACATACGACGCGTTTTACGCGTTATTCACTGCTCATATGCGTTCTCGCAACTAGTGTTTTTTTCGCAGAATATACTAACCCTTCGAGAGGTTAGATTGTATGTAGCGGTCGCGGGGCCGACCCCCTGCAGGGGCATTATTCGCTCGCAACACTCCACGTTTTATGTGAAGTGGTGTAATATTCAACGCGGTGATATGCAGTAGTGGTCGTGAAATATGTTTTTCATATCACTAGGGTGGTGAAGAAACATAAATATATTGCAGTCACCAACACATGTGCATATTACTTTTCAGATATCAACAGTGTACAGACCCCTCCATGTGGGCAAGGAGGATATTCTAATTGAACCAGAGGTAGGGCGAGGATGTGAGTAGCGCGCGCCCTGGTGATCGATTTGAGGTATTGCCTTCATCGCCTTCGAGAAGGGCTGCGATGGAAATGAGCGGGAAGAAGATTTATGTTCAGCAGAGTAGAAGGCGAGGCGATGGTAAGGCGGCGTTGCATAAATCGATCAAGTGATCGATTAGGCCTTCGTGATGAAGGGGCGGAGCTCACTGAGTTCACTTCCATGGACTCAATCAATGAATTTTACATAGGTCCAGCCCGGTTCGATCCCCGGGTAGGACATTTCTCCATCATTAGAGTTTTTCGTGCATATCTCTCCGAGCTGTTCGCATAATCGAGTTTTTCCCAACACCTCCGCATATAGAGGAGTCGTTCGATCTATCTGGTAGCCTCCTACGCTTCGTAGTTAAGCCAGAATAATTCTGCACGCACGCACAACGCGAAAGTGCCTGCTGTTGCGGTATATGCTCCGCTCGCTTCGCAATTCTCACAAACACACGTCGTCGAGCATCTGCAAAATTTCCCGAACTGCTATGTGTACTCTCACTCTCCTATATTAACTTGGCAGTAGAATGAATTGTGGTTAGTATTTATGAAAAAATAACTTCAGGGGAAAGAATCGATTGATTTCAAATTTTCGGTTTTTTTCTTTATATTTTTTGGTTGTTCGATCAGGTGCGGTATCATCATCATCGTCGTTGAAGGCGGTAACGTTGAAAGAATTCAGGAGCTCACACTTGGTGGGGTCGGATGATAATCGATCAGGTGATCGATTATGTTTCGGGATATACACATAGTCAACTCCGTAAAAAATTTTGAGGATTTTTTGGGGGAAATTTTCGTTGGTTTCTGTACATTTCTACACGAATTCGTCAGCACACTCCTGAACACAGCCGAAGGAAGAGAACCATATTTCACAAAGATTTGTTAGAATTCCAGAGCAATAAAATACTCATTTGGAATAAGCGTTGCATATACGATGCGAAGTTGACCTGTGGCAGTAAATGAGTATCAGACCTTGAGTGCTTAACACAAGGCCCCAGTTACCAGTGAGCAGTTTTCGGTCCGAACACAATTGTCCCTGCGTGCTAAGGTGCTGCAAAGCTAGAGCTAGTAGTAGCTCATACGTAGCTCGTTATCATAGTTATAACGTAACGTATTCTGATGCGTTCTACTCCATTGTACGTCCGCTGTCGTACAAGGTTACCATAGCAACAGAATGAAAACTATAAACTTATGTATTATAGCAGATTGGGACTAGCGACAAAAGAGACAAGCTAAGAAACTTACCACAATTACACGAGGCAGCCTGCTAACACGACATTCAGCCGAACCGGCACAGTTCCGCATAATATTCACGTTCGTGTATACTGGGAGAATTTGTTGTATTATGTGGTGGTAATTTATCATACCATAACGAAGTTTCCCGTGATGTGAAAAAACACTAGTGAAAACATATTTCACTTGGAGTATTACGCCACTGGACGTAAAATGGGTTGTGGAACTCCGGTATATGCAAGTCGCTTTGTCCGTATGCGTGTGTGAATTTGTATGAGTTCAAAGCCTACTAAGACAACACGGCTTAGATCCACATAAGGAGGGAATAGTTTTAGCATATTAAATTGGCTCGTTTATCACACCAAGGAGTTTTGTTGTCTATACCATCGTTCTCCCTTTTCCGATGTTTTCATCGTGAGGTGTTGTTGATGAGGAGCTGCGGATTCGATACGAATTGGCGGCAGTGTGGGACGGAAGTTTGCGGAAATTGATTGACTCGAAAGAGAAAGTTGAAGAGTATAGGAATATCGTCGAGGTAGAAATGGTCTTCATCCATACCTGATTTGTATCTTACGCTGTCAACCTGAAGATATTTTTGTCAGATGTCGATGAAGTCTACTTTAGTTGCTAATGCTATCAATAGGATTTTGTTTTGCGCGCAGGTAAAGAAGTTCATAGAATTTTGTGGCGAAGTGACGGAATTTTGCGGCGCAGTGAAGGGATGAGTATATGTATCCGCTTCAGAGTATCTATGCGGGTGTATGTATGGTCCGTATTGGGTTGCGGTTGGAAGTCGAGGAGAGCTGCGAAATATCTTTTTGCACGGAAAAAAGTAATTTTTGTGATTTTTTTTTACCAGAAAATCTTCGCTGTGCGTTGAGCGAATCTTTTAGATTCTCTTTTTGGTATATTTTTTGGTCTGTTGCTGAGCCCTCTGGCGTTGACAGGGACGATGTACAGGTTGGTTGAATTACGGGAGTAGTAGAAGTGGAGGGAGATGGGATAGAACCCGGGTTGCTCGTGTGTAGGTGGTGGGCGCTTAACGTGGCGCGTAGATCGTCGGTGATATTGAATGTAGCAGCAGTGGGAGTGGCGGCGGTCCTTTATACGATCTGTCTCGTTGCTACTGCCTCTGGAAACGGTGACGGGTAGGTGGGTGAGATGTTTTCACGCGCCACGAAATTGGCAGATTTTGATCTGAGTAGATTTGTGACTGAATAGATTCAATGCTATCCTGTCACAGGATTCCTGTGCACTAAATCGGCTTATTTAGTAGACTTCCGAAAGTAACGGTTGTGGGTTCGATTCCCGGTGCGGATTTTTTTGAATCATTTTTAATCGTTTTTATTGATCGGAGATGAGAGTGTTCTCATTTGATACATGAACTGCGCTCTTCCGAATGGTATGTGTCTCGAGAGCTCGACTCGTGAAGTCGTAGAGAATTGATTCAAGCAAACGCACAGAAAAAGTGTGGTTATTTATTACAAGTTTTTTTAGGTTGTTACCTGCGTATTGTGGTACTGCAGCGTTGGTAGTGGTACTTATAGATGGTAGGGGAATTTATAATTGATTATGCATTTCGTGAAGTTGATGGCGTATCAGGTGGTTGGTATGTTGTGTTATCAGTGTTGAAACGGTTTGTTTAGGGGGGTATAATGGGACTCACACAAGGAAAGTCTCTTGTAATTTAATTAATAGCAGCTGATTCGTGACGGGCACACTGCGGGGTGAGAAAATATGCTCTTGCTCACCTGCGTGTGTTGGTGACAATTGCGAGGAAATTATTGTCGTACATGTATGTAAACTTCAGTGATTATCGAGGAAACTTTTGGACTCAGCTGAGGAGAGCAAGCATATATAATATATGATATATTCCTTCAACACTGCGCGGTATATGCCGTTCTTGTTTGTATTGGATCTCGCAACAGAATAGCATTATGTTATAAGTCTGAACAGTCGCAAGCAGAGGCGTGTATATCGGCGATCTCATTTCGGCGTTGGCAACATTTAGATAGAAATAAAATGGATTGATCGCGGACTTTCACGACTTCGGTGACCTATGCGACTTCATGTTCACTCCACGGATGGAGAATACAGAAGCACTCGTTCTACGAGAATGATATCGCAATCATGTCAGTGTTTCTACAAGCACAAGTTCGGATAGTCCCGGCGGGGGTCGAACTGCAAACCATCTGAGACTCAGATGGTTAGCGGTTCGACTCAGACTCTGAGTTATAGTACCGCTAAAAACTTGGATCGAGTTGCAGGAATAGCTTCGAAGTCAATGCATACATTAAGAACGAGGATAGCTTAGCCACAGAACTTCTGTGACAGAAGCTGATGGAGTCGTTGAGGGTAGGTTGACCCCCCAGCAGGGTGTGATGTGAGTGGAAATTTAGCACGATATTCTGTGTTTAGAAATTTCAAGGTGGAAATTTCCGGAATTTCCAGGAAATTTCCGCCAAGATGCTTCCGGGCTTCTGCGCTTGCGCGCAGTCGGGATCGAGCGAGTACAAGAGGAGCAAGATCACGAGTTGGAGAGTCGTTTCGTGGGTCCATGCGTTACATTGTCGATTGCGTGTCGCGTTCAGTTCGGGAGACAATGGTGACTCGAAAGGGATGTAGGTGCCTCAATCACGGTCACGACTGACGATCCGTCAAAGCAGCTTTGTGAGAGACAGGTTCTCGCTCTCGAAAAACCTCGTTTCTGGGTGGTCGAATTCTGTTCAGTATGTCGAAGAAATCTAGTTTGTCTCTGAAGGCTTTCCTGTTACATTGCCTATCTCTTAATGGCTCCCTCGTCGCGTAGGAGAAGCTCTCTCTTCGACCCCCGACCGCATTCCGCATTACCTGGTGAAAACTCGGGCTGAGCTTGGCCTCCCACCGCTACCAGATCACAATCCAGATCGCCAGCCGAGTGTGCACGTATGCCCTCATTGTTTTGGAAGCTCGAGTCGAGTGCTACAACTCCACGAGGCTCAGAAAGAATATTTCAGCTCACTGGGATGAACAGCGTGAAAAGAACCGGGGTGCGGTTGGAGCAGCTCGTTCTGATGCTGTATCACCTTTTACCTTACAAGCACCAGGTAAAGCGGCTTGCTTTGACGAGTTGTCCTCGCGTCACGCGAGTCGCGTGTTACAATACCATCAGTCACCCCAGGCGCCTTATCGCCGAGAGTCAACCACTTAGAGTCCAACGAGAATCAAGTGATCTCAGCTACCGGCATTCCTTCTCGAGATAACCGCCCTGACTCTCAAGACCGGAAAAACGTCGATCTATCGAGAGGCTTCCTGATATAAAAAACCTGTTTGCCTTTAACGTCGGAGGATTTAAAAATCCTAGAAACAGCATCCAGCTTCAAAAACTTGTGGCACCAAGTGGCACCTCATGACGCACGACGAAGACTTGTAAGCGCTCGCCTTGATGATCGATTCCAGGCTGGAATTTCCACAAATTCAGAATTTGAAATTCTGGAAATTTTCCAGCCGTTGGGGCTTTTACGCACAACAACCAATTCTGAGCATCACTACGACACTCTATCTATGCGGAGAGCTATTCTTAATGCAGATTGAGCTTTTTTATAAACAGAACGTGCGTAGAGATCAGTAAATAGCCATTTTTGTTAGATTTCCTGGAAATTCAAGGGTCGTGGAATTTTTTCCGAAATTTCCTTCGGAAATTTCAGGAATGGAAATTTACACTTGCAAAAATCACACCCTGCCCCCCAGTCAAAGGCGAACCAAATCGAATTTTGGTTAAGATGTAACGGATTTCTAAGGACCGTGTTTTTCTCGAGTAAGTTCCAAAGTTCACAATTTCACGCTGAATGAGCAGTGTTTCGGGCCGAAATTTTAGCTAGGTAGATAGAGTGATGAACTACGATACTCTGAAGTGGAAGGGTCATATTTGAAACCGTTACTGATATATGATAAGGGATCTACCAATGAGGGATCTACCACACCTACTATGACTATCGACCCTGCCCCACCGACAGTGCGCCCTCACATCAGGCAAGAGCCTGGCTCTATAGAGGCCGAGCATCTAATGACTTCGCGATTAAGACCGATCCGGGACGCAGGGGCTGTCGGCAGCTGTAGGTCCTACAGTGTAGGATAATATTACTTTATCATTGCCACTATTATGATTTGATGGGCACTGGCTCGAAATATGACCTCTGCCTCCACATGAATAGCATCGTGGCAGTCGTGCCGACTCCACACCTTTCTTTGTAGATGCATTTTCCTCGGATTCCGAGGCCAGCTCGTCCCGTGCCTCCTTCGCAAGAGCCATTGCCTTTATAGCCCCTATATCCTTTATACCCTTGCCTTTAGCAGGAGGCTGATCGGCTGAAACGGTAGCCACTGTTCCGGGCTTAGGCACTACGATGCTCTTGGCAAGTCTCAAACATCCCTCAACAATATCGGCTCTGGATTCCCATAAGGATTCCCTTTGGCTTTTAATGGCTGGTTTACCGGGGATATCGGCCGGAACTCCTTCCCAAAACATCAAACACGCCGCCGAATTCATCCATGTTTGATCAAGTTTGATACTTGATGGCTTGGATGAGCCATTCAGGCGTTGAAGCTCAGTCGAGAACTCTGCTGGACTCTCTTCTGGCCTCAACTCGCGGGTGAAGAAGTTATGCCAGCACTTGAATATATCGGCATCATAACGCTCTATAAGCACCAGTATAGCTTTCTGATTCAACTTCTCGTCATCAGCAGCAGTAATGGTAGTTGATGATGGGCATACGTTTACCTGTACAGTAGTATAGGCACACACGCTCGCCTTGCTGTTCGATTCTTCAAGCACAGCAAGATGCGCATTCCAGCAGAGCTTGAGACCCTCGGATGGTCACCGTCCAGACCGATTAGTGAAGAAAAAGATAAAGTAGTTCGAGGCGACATCCCTGAAAGGCAGCATATTTTTATGCTATATTTAGAAATATTATTGCCGTGGAATATTGCGGGTTCCAATGAGAGGCTTTGCGGTTAGAGATCTAGTCAGCTTCAGCTGGCTGGCTCCGGCCTCATGCTAGTGGGCTTCACCTCCGCCAAATGTACTTTGACCTCGTTAACCACGGCTTGGGTATGAGCTGGGGCATTTCCATCCCCCGAAGATCGCAAACGCGTCATCACCGGCTTATACCATCCGTAGATGGTCCACCCATGATTTTGTATTGGGTCACTTTCGGACCCGTTTATTCGTGCGCCTATTCTATCCATACTTAATCTCAGATCATAAACATCGATGTCATCATCTCGCAAGGGGTTCTCTAGTAACCCCCGGGGAAGGAATATTCGAGAAAAAGCTAAGCTCTGAAACTCGCACTGACCACCAGGGATATCAGGAGAGACAATAACGGATCGTACTACCCAGCTATAACGGCGAGCACGGGATAGACATACACAATCAAACGTATTTGGATATTGTCGATCGCAAGCCTCACCTGAGCATACACGATCCTCTACCCACGTTGGTCCGAGTTGTAGACTAACATTTTCCATCCCAAATGCTTTGAATCCCGTATTCGACGAAAATGTCAAGGGATCCACAAGTCTTTCATTATCAAAGACAGTGGCCCACTGTCAGTGGGTACTAAATACTCCTTAATGCGAACTATCTTAACCGCCCCATCTCCCATCATACCCCGAAACATGGGTTCAGCAATAGAATACACTCCTCCCACCTTTGTGTCTCTAAATTTGAAGAGGTTTGCGGTTTCTTGTTGCGAGTCCGTCAATATTATGAAAACGCCATTACTCTGCAGATATTGAAACACAAGGAACCGATCATAAACGCATAGGAACGTATACGTGGTACGTACCACGTATGCTTCGATACGAATGTCTTAATACCATGTCGACTCGTACCACCCTTCGTGGATCGATACAGTTGTACTTCAGGGTAACGAAATTTCGCTCGGGCCGGTGTGGATTGGAACCATTGAGAAGAATGGGAGCCGGGGTATCCGTTTCATGAACACGTCGCAGTACTCTAGGTCGATCACAGTCGTTTACCCCGGCAATCCTAAATCCTACAATATTGCTTTGAGCCCCAACAAGAAGCGGGTATCCGGTGTTACATCGAAGTTCAGGGCTCCTCGCTAATGTATTACCCAAGGGCCTTGGGCCAAGGCGCGAGTGGCAGCATGTCATGACCTATGACATACAGTCCGAAACCGCAGACCCGTTTCGGATGGCCCTGGTTCACTACAGATTCAACTTCACTTGGAAGCGACAGTACGGTCCGAGTAACCAGAACGAGATAAGATGGGAATATACCGAACATGAAGGCTGCGACAGGAAAATCCGCATAGTCGAAGACGGAGCCCAGATTAAGATATGGATTTCAGGTGGTATAAATGGCATGTTGACCGCATTGTTACAGAACGGGCGCTACATGGTGGACGAAATTCTATGGAGTCTTTCCAGTGACCTAGGCGACCATACAGGAGAGCCGAGAAACCTGAAGCACGTGAGATTCCCCCCGCATATTGAGCAGTACATCCTGGATGCTGCTTCTCGTGGAGAAAATGCCTCACATGTCTTGGCAAGGAAGAGTATCCCGAGTTTGCAAATCGTTTGACCGAGACAATAGTGATGTTATGAATACTTTTCCATGGAATCACTTTCAGTTGGCACGTTCAAAATCTGAGCTCGTCTCTGAGAATTAGACGAGATGCAATAAAGGTCTATGCACTCCTCACAACACGTGCTATGGCTTTTCTGATGCCATCATCAAGTTTGGACTCGTAAACATTCATGGGGCACCGGGAGAATTTTTGGGCAGCGAAAGAACTATTCGGGCACTGGAAGGATTCTTTCAAAGAAAACTCAAGAATTTCTTTGGATATTGAAGGTCTCTTTCAAACGCGCGCAAGTCCAGGCCCTAGACAAGTCCTAGTTTGTTGCTGAAGCGACACATTATAGGATGTTTCCGTTACTTGAATCGCAATAAAAAACAGATGAGTTTGTCGATACAAGACCTTGTAATACGGGTGAAGGATATAACGTGTATAATGGGATACGCCTTTTGAGCTGAATGCCATTCAATGAACAAACTATATAGGTAGAGATTTCCGGGGTAGGGATCGTCACCATCCGAAGATCCCACATTCGAAGAGACCACAGTTGCCGGACTCCAGCCGTGCGAACCGAATCGGTTCGCGGAAGGAAGATGTAAACTTCACAATGAGACTCTCCATTTGAGTCTCAAATTTTGAGAGGAGGGGCGATAGTTGATAGTGCCAGACAACAGTTTGGGCGTGAGGAAGGATACCACGTGCAAACTTGCAGCTTCCTAGTCGCAGTAAAGAAGCTACAATCGCATTGTTAGAGCGCTCCGCGAGCCGGGAGTTCCGGCCCACGGCCACCCTTAATGGGAGATACAGTATCTCAATACGCGAGTGCGATGGGGATTCTGAATGATATAAGACGAGGAGAAGTACCTGATGTGATGGAGGCCAATCACGGAATGGAATTCAGGTTTTGTTATACCTATTCGTCACCACATTCAGCTACAACATCTTTTTATACTTCAATAACGATTTGTACTCCATCGCGAATTTACTTTCCGTATTTATTCAGTTATTTTTCATTTCCATATCGATGCTCAGATATTCATACATATCCCTATTTAACCTCTTCTCTTTTCACCTTATCAATTAACTCCTGGGTATTATTCATCTGACTAAAACCAAAAATTCCTCGGATCAAAACCAGTGGCTTTAAGTCGCAAGAACTGCTATTATCTTATTGTCCTGACTACTTTGATGTAACTACACTGTGTACCATCCAAACACAATATTCAACTCCTATCGTATTCGTCTCTTTCACACTAACATCTCATGATCACTTGCGGTCTGAAGCGGATCTGTGATGCGCTCTCACTCATCATGGGATCTAATCATAGAACTAATTTTCTCGTATCCGTATGCTACTCCGAAAATCCTTGGCTTGAGGATTACTGTCAGAAAAACCTTACCCAACTCAACCTGGAACTTCCAAAGCTGCATAGGCCTACGTTCTTTATACATTGTAACGAGGGCATTTAACTCGTGTATCTCAACTCACCGTCTACACCCTCGAGCGTTAGCGAGCTAGGGAACTCCGGGGCGAAGCGACGGGCTCTGCTAGTGAGGATAGTTGATCATGTCAACTTGCTCTGTACGCACCCGCACGTGTTCTGTGGATATGAATCTCTACCGTCTGCGTGCGGGGAGACGCACGCTTCATAATTGCGTGCTAGAGGACACTCCCTCAGTCCGATCAGGGTTTACTTACGCGACACACATTTTGCTATCACCAAACCCTTGAGTTATTCCTCGAAGTGGCTGTGGACTTGCTTTTCCACGAACACGTCTTCTTTCAGTTGGGCCATGGCCTTCTGCGTCTTGGCGCCCGATTCGGCCATCATCGCGTCTTCCTAAGCATGAAGAGCTTTGATAGCACCGGAATGAGAACTATATACAGGAAGATCTAGAGCTTTAGACAGTAAAAGCAATAAAACCCTCCGGGTTGTTTTTTGGCCTCGGAAATAGAGGACCTCTTTTCATTATTCTCATCAACGTCAATGTGACGAGAGTGTTTGAACTGGTGATGCTGATGAATCATCAGTGATGATGGTGGCGGCCTTCAGTCTGCATGAGGGCAACCTGACGCCCGAAAGAGAGGCGACAGGTTGAAAGCCTGTTTGTTCTCGTTGGAGGTTGCTCTACCAGCAAATTGCAGGCAGCAATTTCAGACAGTATGATGTTAAGGTGCATGCCGCATGATTCGGTGGAGGTGGTCAAAGGTTACAAAGTAATAGCTGAGGCGATAGGAAATTCGTGCAGTAACGCATCGATCGATCGTTCCGACTCGTAGTTGATCATGCGCCATCAAAGCCATCTCGAGGTGTAGTATCTTAGCCTCCCCAACCCTAGTCTTACGTCCAGTTCATTCACTGCCCTTCTCGGCACTTGTTGTCTAGACTCCTCATCCAAAGCTATTGACGATGGACTCACACGGAACTCAACTCCGCTTTCTCTATAAGACCCATTCTCATATGCTGGTCATACTGACAAAATAGGCCGAAGAATAAGAAAATAAGAAGAAAAAAACGACCATTTAGATACGGGACACGCACCGCGGCCCTTTGTTGTAATCTGAATGCTAAGAATGAATCATCCTGGATGATAAGTACTGAGATGAGAAATTCGAGTGGATCAACCAGGAATCTTCGCCTGATAAGTGACAACTGTAGTAGAATCGTCACCATTCGGGTAGTGATGTGTACCGACTATACATTTGCCTCAATCCAATAAACTTGGTGCTCCACACCATTTTTCCCCACTGCAAGTTTGATCTTTCCTTGGTCACCCCATTCCTCATTCCAAGAGTTCACTGCTAACCAATACTCTTGACCCGCCTCAACTCCCCAACCTATAAGTTTAAGGGTATGAGCCCCCACCATGGCACCCGTTTTGTACTCGTAGACACCAGACTTGTAAAGTCGGAAATCTTCGTGGATCGTCATTATCGCGGCAACCTGAATTACAAAGGTGATCCGGCCATACTACCAGCCAAGCGATAGATTATATCGGAGATAAATTCACACTCTCAATCACTTCTAAGTACTGGTCAATCGGTTTTTAATAACACATGTAATAAGGATTTCATCAAACTCAATCTAGTTGTCAACTAGATTGTACTGATCTGTACTGATCAATGATCAAATGATTTATAGGGATGCAGGTGGTGGGCTTCATCACAGCTGCTAGAATTCAGTATGGAAATGAAGTGGACCTTATACTATGGGGCCCAAAGCTACGATAGCTTACGGGTCCATTATCGAATATTTCTTGCTTGATCTTCTCAGGGCTTATCGGTAGGCGTCCCCAGCTTTTAGCACGGTGAACGTCTCTAACATAGAGTAAATATGATTCATATTTACAGTATACGATGCTCCATATAATATGAAGTCTGCACCAGATGTAGTCCATCTGATGTCCTCTTACTTCTGCATGCTGGTCCCGTAGGCTTTATTGGGGCAAGTAGTTGGACATGCAGGAATGACCCGGCCCTACGACAATGGAGTCCATCACAATGTGATGGCGCCGCAAGACGCCCTACCTTAGACCCGCATCTGGGGTATTTGACTTTCATTCCGGGTACATGATTGCACTTCGGGAATGGATAAGGCCAGCAGCCATCATCGTTGCCCAGTTTCTTGGGCGGTTTGTATTCACCACCTAAACGGAGCACGAATGATGCGTATCCAGAGGAGACTCGGTGCCATTCTCAATCTCACTCAACTTGAATGACCCGAGTCGAAAATCCCTACCAGTAACAATGCCGTGATTTTTCATGAAGATCAGGCCTTCAGCCACGGAGCCTCTCCTACACCCATCCGATCTGAAGATGAAGTTTACTCTATCTATCATTAAGACAATGCATTATCATCGCCCTTGGTTCAATGCATATCTCTCACTTCGGACATCCGTTAGCATGATTGCAGCATGAAGTCAGGTATGCGAGAGATAGGATATCCGTGATTCTACCGCCGGACTGGATGCATACACGATCGTTGAACATTCCGACGGAAGCACTTGCCCAGCAATTATGACATTCGGCTTGGTCTCTGAGCGATGAATCTCCACTGAGGGGTTATCATAACAGCAGTAGGAAGGACTACCTTATATGGCCGATGACATCAGCACAGGAAGCAAACTTGATTTGAGCGTTGAAGTTACTTGGTAAAGTCGTCAACACCGGGTTTGTGGGTCCGAGAAGGCGATTCTCGCCACCTTCGTCCGGAGCCGAAGAGAGCATCGTATCCTTAGAGCATCCAGCAGGGAGGTCTTTGATTGACATACGTGTCAAGTAGTGGCACTGAATCCCGAGTTCGAGACTTGGAGAGGTATTCACGTAAGTAACTCATGGTAAGTTCACGACGTACCCTTGAAAGGTGGCTGATCTTTGGAGGCAGTCCACGACTGCTGCATCGAGTTGATCTTGTCAACCATAGATTGCAACAAAGCTGGCTTGGTGTTGTTGAAGAATTCAGTCAAGTACTCAATTGACACGTCTTCATGTAGATTCACCTCTTCGAGCTCATCTTTGAAACGAGAAAAATGCTGTGAGTCTTCATCTGGAGTATAGACGGATCCTGGACAAAAGGCAACAGCGTTAAAACGAGGAGAAGTGATGAGTGTTCCTACGACTCTGCTCCTTGATCTTGTCGAATACGCCCCGGAGATTGGAGATATCGCACCGAATTTGAAACACCAGGGCGCACATCGAGAGAAGTAGGAGGGAGTTACTCATATTGAGAACGAAGTGATACTACAGCTGCTAGAAAACAGTTCATAGGAGTCCTATAGCCGTCTGCGTAGTTAGCCTTGGAGGAAGCATCAAGTAGTATAGCGTCCTGGAGTTCAAGCTTGGTGGAGGAAACCATTTTTCGCCCTTTTTTTTCAGGGCGAGGGCAGGGCCCCTCCGCCCGTTATCAGAGCCAATTTATACACATCGAAGATGGTACCGTCCCTAGCCTTTTTCGCGATCTACCCATAATATCGAACCGGGACTAGTACCAAACGAATCCTTATCGAATTTTAGGAACAATGGCATCAGCCGTTTTCTGGTTTATAGCTTGTGGTAGGAGCTATGATCGATTTAAGATTCTCCGTTAGGATGTCCGCTCAAAAATCGTCACTTGCAATCTTAAGGTGGGATTGGTCTAGTGGTATGCGCCGCGGCTGACGACCGGAAGGTCCCTGGATCGAATCTCGGGTTGGACAAAATAAACTTTTTATATTATTTAAATATATCACGATTTTAATTATTCTTAGATCTATTTCGTGGCGCGTGAGAAGTATATGCAACTTTCTATACCGCTATTCCCGATGTTATAATATGAGATGTCGGTTCAAAGCTCATGGCTCGGCTGTGTAGGGGGCCCCACATAGTGGGGTCTGCACAGCCGAGCCGGCCGTAGGTCAGACTCCTCACGTAACCATCCCCCTCAAAGCTGCGCAGCACTAAACTACGGCAGAGGCCGTACAGCCTAAAGGTCGAGCGGTCAGCCTCACACCCGTGAGGCATGGGTTCGATACCGGTCGATCCCCCATAGAGGAGGAATGCTAGCGCAGCGCACATGCGGACACCGCTAGGTGGAACCGTCGCCCCACATCTGTACGTATCAACATCCGTACGTATCAACATCTCTACGTGTAAATCCTCACGCGCAGCAAAAAGAGTGGGGACAACCTCGCGAAGCGGGGATGAAAGTTTTTGTAGATGAATATACTATATTCAATGTAGTGCAGTGGGTTAGATTCATGACTACTGAGAGGGTGTCCTTGATCGGTAGTTGCTGCACGGCCGACAAATTTTTCACCGCGCCACCAATTTCTCATCTCGCCACCAAATTACTCAGACAGCGCCACTTTTTTCTTACGGAGCTACCCGGATCAACGACGGATCAGCGAATCACTCAGTGGCTGCATCCGGATTCAACACAATCTTTCGTATATACCCTAAGAGTATCAAACGAATACAATCATATTTTCTGAGGAATGATATCGAGTTTGACTTAATTCACACGTCGCCCCACATCTGTACGTATCATCACCCGTACGTATGAATCGACACGCGCCGCAGTTGAGCGAGGACAACCTCGTGAAGCGAAGTTTAGAGTTTTTGTAGATTAGTATACTGCAATGGGTTAGCCTCATGGTCACTGAGAGGGTTTCAAAATGGGCCCGCTATTAGAAGAGTAAGAAAATCGTCCTCGCCCCGGAAGTGTGATTCGCTCATCGGTGATCAATTCATATCCGACATAACAACCTCAACGCATGAATGACATCCGAGTATGGTGGAATTCAGGTGCAATGTGAGACGATTTAAACCATTAACACTCGATCCCTATCCTCACTATATGTCCATAAGTCATGTAACTAATCGAGTTTTCCCAACACCAAGTAATCGAAAAAAGCATTACTCAACTGTAGATCTGCGGAAAAGCGCCCTTGCTTTCTTCGCATGCATCGCCCAAAAACTACCGTGAAGTAAAATAACACTCCGCTAATGAGTACATTAGCACATCCGCCCTTTAAGGTTTTGACACTGAGGTACCTCACCCAGTCACCAATACTGACTGCATAAGTATAACAGGTTCGAACATCAAAATCATTTCCACAGGCCAGAAAACTCACTGCGTTTTCCGGCTTGTGGGGGGAGAATGGCTCTGAGTTGAACTCAGAGATTGCATCTCGACCAACTTTGATGATAGGGGCACTTTCCCCGAAACATAGTCCTCCACCTTAATAGCATAACCGCGTCGCCCGTACGGCACTTTGAATGGTACTCTCGGGTTCGACCAAGCGGTAGAGATTCTGGCACGCGTTGGTGCCGCTCTACATTGGAAGTCATGACTCTAATCGTTATCTCCCGCTGGTCTCTTAGCGTGCCTCCTCTGTCCTGTATGCAAACCTTCGGTCGTCGTCTTCCGCCCTCCCCCGCTCGTCCAGGCCTCGTCCTTTCTCATCCAGTAGCCTAGTTATCCCTTCCCCATTACATCAATACCTATCAGAGTTTGCGACAGATTCCTTGGGCCTCTATACTCCTCTACCCCGTTCTCCGCCGCCCTTGGTGTCGTCGGTAGGCATCGCGCGTTCGTCTGTGCGTGCGCATCTAGATCGCGTACGTCGATCCTCGTGATCGTTCTTGGTTGTACTGAAAGCGGACAGTTCGTTTCCGCTTGCAAAAGGTCGAAGCGAACGCCTCCTTGCTTAACCTACAGTCACCGGTACTTCCGCTTCTAGTGATCAGTTCTGGTCAATACTTGAGTTCTAGTGGTCCGAGTGGCCTAGCAAAAGCCGGAAAACCGGTGGACCACCAGCGTTGGTGATGTCGTTCGGGTATGTCGAGTTCAACTCGAAGTTGACATCTTTTGCGTCGGGGAGTAGGCCCCGAATCCTCCCAGTTTTCAACCTTCTTCAAAAATGTTATCCCTCGTCCACGTTGCCGTGTTGCTCTTGCCTATGGTAGTTGGTCATCTGCCATCGCCTGTGACACAGATCGGGGCAGAGAATATACTGCGCTCTCTCTCGGACGATATCACTTATCGTAATTATAAACCTGTCGACAACCTGCGCCTAATCGGTAGGCAAGCCGTCGAGTTTTGCAAAGACATCTTCTGTTACGTCGCAGTGGATCGTAAAAGCATTGAACAGAAGGTCGGTTGGGTCGTCACTCTGGTCGTGCTTAAAATACAGGTGTCGTTTACTTCAGTATTTGTGAGCCTCGAGCACCTCAAGCGGTGAATGTTCCCACTCGGCATGCTTTCAGACTGTCGTCGGCATTGTTCAAATGATCATTCCCGGGAAGCACTTGAGTCCCCAGGACAGAAACGCGATCTGTGGCGACAGGTGAAGTCTGTTTGGAACGACTCTCAGACTCTGCTTCTTGGCAATACCGTGTGACACCGCGACTTTAAGAGAAATCTTCTCAGAGAATCTTCCAGGAAGATTCTTCCTATTGATATGCTTCTAGTGGTGATCCCGAGAAGTTCACATTTCTTGCAGGCTGTCAAATAATCGTCTTTCCCTGTGCTGTTTCCCCTCCTGCACGAGGACACCCAAAGGAAACCTCGCACATCTATTTTTCGTAGGGTCGGCACTTCTGACGGCTATCTGATGCTCCTGCATTCGCTCTCAACTCTTTCAGTTAAAAGTATTCGATGCTTATCGAGGAATCGCCACGGAGATGCTATCGCATACTTTCGCGGTGGTAAGTCTCTCATCGCCATTGCTGAATTCGTTTGTGGCGCCCCGACTCGACGAAGATCTCGGCTCAACTCAGCTGTATGAATGAAGCTGTATGACGATCTCCCTTCAGCTCGAGCAAACCCATCCCAAGCTTATGGCCATCTATCTGCATGTGGACTCGGACAATCTTCCCGCCATACGATTATACGAGAAGTCGGGATTCAAAAGGATTGTTTGTAAGTCGCCGCGAAGTCCGTCTGTCCGACGAGTGTTGTGCGTTCTGACACTCTGGTATCCACCTCGCGATTTTCAATGTCAGCTCCTTCAAGCAAGGTCTTTCTCTATGCCCGCTACATGTAATGTAGCAGTTTCTTGCTGAAGAGCAGACAGTCCTTCGGCTGTACAAGTGAGCCCGCCACTTCTCCTCCTTTCCGCCTCTTTCGCTGATTCTGTCGATCTCAGTGACTCTGGCAGTCGTACGACGACGGCTCATCCTAATCATAACATGTCATGCCTCCTAAACGGAGGCATTGCCATGCTAGAAATTTTCTTCTTAAATGTCTCGGTCCCGTCTAGTACTCGGTGGTAGCGGGTACAAGGCTAGACCGGTGTCGAATAGTCATCCACTAAGCAGATTTCTTTTCATCAGTTGGTGACACCAACGCATTCAGTCGATCCTCAGAAAAGATCGTAAAGATAGAGGGTTATAGTCCGCCATAGCCTTCATCAGTCTTCTTCAGCTATATTCGCCCACTCAATCTCATGTTGCGTTCCGACAGTAGATGACGAGCTTGAGATGCTAATCATTAGTTGACGCGCCGGGAAAGCTGTTTATCGTAGGCAATGGAGAGGTGAGGGTCTGGCCTTCAAGTTGCTTCGGAGGCCACCAACCCAACTGCACCAGGCAGGCCACCTCCGTAGCATTCTTAACTTTGACTCTAACAGAAGACGCCAAAGGATTGCCTGATTATCTAAGCTCATCGAGTCGATAATGCAGAAAATCGTTCATACACAACCGCTGACCAGAGTAGACTCTACATCTTCACGCGGCGAGAAACCATCGACGGTATTGCCACTGCGGACTTGAGGACTACAAGATGTCAGCCACGGGTCCTCTCAGTCAGAGGCCCGCATAGCTGAGTTACTCAGCCTGAGTATAAATGCCCTGAATAATACTTATGAAAAATCACCATACAGATTGGGATTGTAGATAGACCAAAATATGTGATAAACCATCACGTTAAATCGAAACCATCACGCCTGCTACTCCAATGCTCGAGCGCCTTCTGGCTCAAATCGCCTCATCGCAGTCGCCAGACTCAGTTATAGCTTGTCCCGAGAAATAAGTCATCATGGTGTTGGTCTTATTGTTGTACAGAAATGTGGGCAAGTCGCCATCTTTCATTTCGCAACACTGGCAGTTCTTGCTGAGGTTGAAGCTTCATATAAGTTTGGTTTGCTCTCGAACACTGAGTAGTCGTCGCTGGAAAAATCAGAACAACTGCATGTAACAGTTGGGCACGGCTCGTCCGAATCAGAAGAAGGCCACGACATTTGAACACACAGCTCATCGTCGTAGTCAATGAGGTTGTAATACTCAGTATTACAGGAACCCAGACAGAGACTCAGGTGGACTCAGAAACCCGAACAAACCACAGTACGGTGAGACTGAAGTATCTGCTACCACCTTCGTGGCCTCCGAGTATGGTGTGAAGGCACCTTCGGACTTGGACAACTTGACGAACCTTCTTCGGTCTTCCAGCTTCGGCCTTCAACGCCAACAGGTAGACTGTATATGAGGTTCATAGTTCAATACCATGATTATATAGTTACTTCCCGGGCCCTCTAGCTCTATGTTGCCAGCCGGGGCTCCCTCATCATCATCGTCAAATGCAGTTGGGGGAGGCAGTTCTGAGCATCTGGTTCGACGGACCATCGATTGGAAATCCTTCGGGTTCCTGTATCGACTCATCAGAGTTGGGATGGATGCTAACGATCCGAAAGCTCCCCTTGGGCTAAAACAGTTATTCCCTTAAACGCTGTACAAGACATAACGAATTGACCTGGTCAATTTGACCACCGCATACGCGATCAGGATCGATTGAAGGAGAAATCAATTGAAATGACGTGCGCCAGATGTCATATCCGTTTCACAACATGGTGATTTCATGTATGCTGGACCAGCACAGCTGGTATACAACATCATGTTCAACATGGTGTGCTGTGTTCAATGCTTGGAGTAGCTCTCTAGAAGTCTCTGTTATAGTCAGGATGGATTTCACCCACATTGACCCGAGTCTACTACACAGATTTGTTGATATATGCCCAAGTTGGATCAGCCGAATGACGACGTGGTCTCCGATGAAGGAGCCGTCTTAATCTCGAACTCAACCCCAAAATACGTTCATCTGCCGGTGTGGGTGGGAGCAGGGGTTCGACAGCTCTACTCGTCGAAGGGACCATGTACGCCGTGAACACTGGGCCGAATTGGGTCTGCTGCCATCTCCTACCAAAAAGTGTCGAAAACGCCGAAGGTCTTCTAATAGGAGACTTCTATGGTGACCTCAACAGCAAGCACCAACAGCGATCCTTCCCTCAAGTTTACTCCCAAGACGTAGCACTCCTTTCTGAAGGTGCAAGCTGGGGATGAGGTCGAATCATTTCATGAAAATCTTGTTCCTCTGGCGACGGCTGGCAACCTTGGGATTCATGGTACGTAGCAGCATTGGAAGTAGTTGTCACTACAGTGCACGAGCCACTCGTGACGAGCGTGGTTCGCGCTCCATGTCGTAGTTGTGCGCTAGTGCTGGCATGCAGATAAGAATCTTCTGAGATGTAGGTAACACCTAGTACTTGAAGCGTGCATACCTGGTACTAGCAGCCTATGGTGTACGGACTTTCTACAAAAGGCCTTTGAAGCCTCGTTACTTCGTTTGCCTAGAGTTCTGTGAGGCAGAGCCTCAGACGAATTAAGAACCAGCGAGAACTGTGCGGAAGTAGCAGATGTGCCAAGAGTTACTAGCCAACGCACGCGATGTATCACAACCTATGCAGTGGAGACTCGGGCAATAATCAACTAGGCCATAGGCGTGTGTGTGAGTTTATAGTCCAGTGGAGTTAGTTTATTAGCAATCCGAACTTTACCATCCGGCAACTCGAAGACTGAGCGTTTGTGTAAATGGAAATTATGGACCTCCAGGTACGACGCAAGAGCTCGAGAAATTTTACACCAATCTTGGGCATCTCATTAATGGTGATTCACAGAGAGACTCTCTCACTGAGAGATGCGGGGTGAGGTCGTGTATAGATGTTGAGGGTTGATGCATTGATGGGTTGAGTCAAAGTGAAAACGAACAAATCCTCAAGGGCCTATTTCTAACTTTAAAATAGACCCTTGGGGATGTGTTGAAATTCTACCATTGGGGTGCCTTGTTTGAGAAATTTTACCGGTAAGGACGCATTCTAAGGGCGAAGTTGTTTTATAAGACTCCTTAACATAGGCCAGGATGAGGAGTGAGAACGTTTGGAACTTCACTCCAATTTGTAGACTAAAATAATCGTTCGAGAGTATTCACTCCAGTGCTGGAATATCTGCAAAGGCGCCTCAGGCGACCTCAAATCTTTCCTCATCCTCGCGTCTTTTCCCTCGATCGTAGATCTCGACATCCGTGGGATTCCGAGATCAAAGATCGGAGTCTCTATCGAAATTTAGGATTCCGGATGTTATCCGACATCCTAAATTCAAAATTTTCGAAAAATGCGAGTCACTCGTAACGAGTGACACGTACGCACATGCGCAGTTCACCGCTTTAGCGTTATCAACGCGCCGCAGACTGCGGCCCGCAATTTACGCGCTTCAGGCAATGCCTGTCACATGACACATGGCAGCCATGTGCTCATGGATTTTGTGCCGTTACATCCTCCTGTTTAGGTGGGCAACCGACCAAAGCAGGTGCAACGGCACAAATATCGAAAATTTTGGTCCAAAATTGACTAACTCGACCGACTTGAACAAATAAAAAAACTCATAAAAACTGATTTGTATTACTATTACTGTGGTTCTTTCACCCCACTGACCATCTTTCTGGGGACCACACTACTGTCCACTTCAAGTGGACAACTTATATAGAAAACTATAACTAGTAAGGAAAATCTGAGCCACCCTCGCTGTCGCTTTCGCTCGGGTCCGATGTTCCGAGCTGAGCAGTATCATCCTCATCTATGGGGGTGCGTTTGATCGCACTCCATGGTACACTCGCAATCTCCGGCCGTTCAGCGATGTTTAGGACACGATCAATAACTTGCGAATGACGGAACTTCCGATTCCGGTACATTTGCTTGCCAGCTCTGGTGAAACCTTGGAACGTTTTCGGCATGCGCAGCAGGGCTCCTTCCAGGAAAGAGTCAAGCTGGTCCATACCGATTTTGTTCCAAGTCAGAAGACTTGTTGCAGCACGCATTTCTACTGAGAGGTGCCTGCGTGGACTTATACTTCCGAGAACAGAGCACTCTGACTCCACTATACTCTCTGCGCACACCTTCAAGGAAACATGCGAAGCTACATACAGTGCGTCTTCAACACCTTCGTACAGAGCTGATTCTCGATGCAAGCGCTCCCAGAGACGAGTCATATCTACATCACTCGGGCTCTCGTTCGTGACCAGTGAACGGAAGGTTTCCTGGAGCTTGAGATACTGGGTCTTGAGCTCTGACTCTGCGAGATTCTCACCAGTGTAGCTGGCGATCCAATGTCCAAGCTGAGAAAACACTTCGGCTCTATTAGAATCATCGTGGCATTTGAGCCCCCCGTCTGCTTCCTGGATAGGTTGATCGTAGGAGCACCGCACGCAGTCAATCTTAACAGTACCAAGAAGTGCTTCGGCCCCTAGAGTAGCTTCGGCATTCCGCAGCCAAAAAGGGATATCATGCAAAGCGCGCAGGTTGAGAGCATTCAAGAGAGAGCGGAGCCACGAACGAGCTTGGCTCGCAACATACGATAGCCTCTCATCACGGGAATACCTTTCAGACCACCACAGGGCAAGACCTTGCCAGAACCCATTGATGAAGTCTACCTTGCGCAAACTCGGTAGATAATCGCACTCAAAATCTTGGGGAACTAAGTTACCATCCTTAGCAGATTGTTCGATGATAGCTATTTCTGCTTCACAGAGTATGAGCCGATCCCTATAGTCACAGAGTGCCTTCCAGATTTGCCATGGCCTCATGACAACTTTTTGTGAGATCAACGACACCTCAGTCATGTGGCTGAGCGTATCAAAGATGACCGTAAAAGTGAAGACCCAGCCGTACTCAAGATATTTGGCTCTCCCATCATCACCATCTGCATGATTAATAGCTAGCAGATTTCTCGAGAAGTTCAACAGGACGCGTCGTTCGGAAGAACACCACCGGGTCTTACAGTACGATAAAGGGGAATAAAAGCGAATACCGAGGTCATCTGCAGCTTCCCTGACCTCCTCAAAACTTTTCCCGATTTTATTCTGAATCTCAGCGTGGAGAAGCCCTCGTAAATCGACAACTTTATGAGCGTCTTGATGGCACAATTCCAAGCGATGCGCAACGTCCCACCCGTGGTGGAGCTGTGAAGACCCATCTTCGCAAAACCCAACATCCAGAACCTCGGCGAGTCTGCTCCCGGCACGGAGATTAACGTATTCTCCATCTGTGGATAAGCTAATGCATTGAGAGCGGAAATGATTCTTCGTGATTCCAGAGGCCTCAACCGTGTCTACGAGTAGGGTAACAAGTCCAAGGCCACTCTTATCAAGAGCTGGGGGAGCTCCAATAAGATAAGATTGTATCTTACCTGTTCACAGAAGACATTTAGGAACATGTATGGATAAGAGTAGGGAAATAGCAATGAGTGAATGAGAGACCAAGGCGGAGATATGTGAAATCCGAATGTCCCACTATGATTGAATCGTAATGATTCAGTGTGAATCATTCAGACAATACGGTTGGGAAACTGAAGCAGAGTTCAAGATGCAAATAGAACGTTATGATTCAGAGATCACGGTTTCGAAGTTCTAGATGATGTGCCCACACTTGATTTTCATGTATTTTTACCTGCTACAATCCCACTGATTGAGACTGGCTGCAATGTGCGCCTGGATAATGTCACTTTGTCAGTCGCAACTCCCAGTGGAGTGGGTCTATCGCCTAAGCATTTCTGGTTGCAGGTCAAGATATATGAGAGGCGAGCTAGCAGTTCTTCCTTCATGGCGTTCGTGAAAACACTCAGGAACTTTCTGGAATGATTCTGATCGCCAACGGGAGGTCCAGCTAGCGCGAGGCCAGCTAGAGTTCTCTCAAACCTGAGTCATGTAAGATTACGAACAGCGCAAAGTTTTATAGATCACCTGACAAAACTATCACCCTCCACGATTGTGCTGTATGCTGCGCGGGATACATTCAATCGAGTCCGCCGAGTGAGGTCGTTCGCTGCACGCTGGCAGAGCTCGCAGCATCGACGGTGAGTCGCCGTCTTCTCGTGATCCTTCAACGAGTCTATGATGGCTCGTCTGCGAGAAGCCACTGGTATTACACCGCTTGCCCCGATGTCGAATCGTCCGACGCGGTCTAGTTGGGCTGGTAGCTCGGAAGTGTGAATCTTGTACTTGTTGGACTCGCAGATCGTGCAGATAACTTGGTTGGAGAGCCAGCAAACACGGAAATTAGTCGACACATTCTTCACCGCCGAGGCAAAGTCACCCTTGGATCGTTTCACCGCTTCACCATCCAAGACCTTATTGACAGATTCTTTCAGAGCCACAATCTCGCTCAAGATTTTTTCCTGGTTCCTCAAAGTAGCTCCCTGAGAACTCAGGTTCCAGGCCGGCAATATTGTGGAACGCCCGGACGATGATGATGAAGAGGAAGATGACAATGGTGGTGGTGGTGCTGATAATGATGGTGATGATGGTGCTGCTGCTGGCGCCGATGAAGAGGTGCCAGGCTGGGCATTATCGACACCAACGCCAGGAGAAGCGACGTCATCAACCGTCCCATCAGAACGTGGTCGTTTCGTACCATGAGGTTCGCGATCTGTGGGTACAGGTCTGAATATGCTTGAGATCGGGATGGAGCCTTGTGGGGGGCGGAACTTAAAGGGCTTCCCAGGATGGTCAGTCTGAATGTGTCGACGAAGATTATCACCCCGCATCGCCGCTTTGCTCGGAGGGCAATAGGCACATTGCAAGTATTCTTTCGATAGCATTTAACGAGCTGGTTTTTTAAAAGCACTCGAGAACACCTAAGACCCAGCGCAATATCCCTGCTCGTAATCCGGTGGACACATCTGGCGTTCCTCGCCACGACGTGGCGGCTTTGTGCCTGCTCGACATCGCATATCATGTGTCACACATTCTTCTACAGTGTCACGTAAGCAGCTTACGTGACACTATAGAAGAGCGTGCGTGAAGGTCACATCTTTACTTTAGTCTACACTACCCGGTCACCAATATCACTTGTATGAGGATATTGGTCATTTTATTCCTATCCCTTTTCGTCGGTTGTCTGCGCCACAGCGCCACTCCATAAGCTATGTCGATGGCTTCTTGATCCATCGCGGCACGCGCGCACACATGAAATTCCGCGCAAAGCCTCGATCATAGTCTGACCTTCACATCGACCCGAAGCTGTAACCCTACGCGCAAATTCTCTGCAGGTACTGTTGTGGCCAAAATGGCCAAAATTACAATATCTCGGATCCTTATCCGACAGCGTGTACTAGAGCCATACCTACACTGTCGAGTACATTTTGATTCCTCACAGTATGGCTTCGTGCGCCCTCCAAATCGACCGACGTTGTCACGACTATACACCAATAAATACAACTGAGTCTCATCCTGAATTCTACTTTACAACCTTTGGCATTGTACGACCGAACCTAGGTCATCGCCAGAACTTGTACGACACGTCTGCCTAGTCATGAACAATTTGGGATATGATTAATTACAGAATTCGAGCATGAGAGGGGCGCAGACTGCGGTACACCTCCTCATCTTCAGGGAGGTTCCTCACTTGTGAGAGCCTTCCTCAAATTTTGGTGTTTCCTCACCGACATATGTCGGTGACCACGTGCATAAATTCCAACTCTGATTCACTCTAATGCGTGACCATTGCTTTGTCATCATGAGGCAATCGAGCGCTGACATCGAAGAAGGTAACTTTGAATTCACTGCTGGTGAATCACTGCTCTCAACTTCAGCGTGGCACTCCTCTAACATGCCTATGGTGACATTCATTGAACGGTATGATGAAAAGAGGCGTTGAAGGTGAGGTGCACGAGTGGCAACTTTCAAACGGTTTGTGTCACAAAATTTGTGTGATAATGGACTTGAGAATCCAAATGTTAGAAAAATTAAATCGCATCAATGATGTGACAACATCATCATAATCATCATCATCGAAGGTGATTCCTCACATTGAAGAGTTGCGCAATCGAATGAATGTAGAGTAATGCATAGATGACCTTGGGCTCAGGTGGTCTAAAGGAGATCTCCTGGCTCTGAACATGTCGTTAATAATTAGTTTTAATGGATCGCAATGTCCTCATGATCAGCGGCTCACAGTGAGCCGCTCACTCATGGTCGTGTCACAGCAATAATTGACTGATGAATCAGCAGTGCTGATTGACATGAGTTGGCTCTCTAGCTCATACTACTGATCGATTCTGAGCCGGCTTGCATACTGAGTATGTCATACTCATTAGTGGTACATCATCACCGTAGCTAACTCCCCATTTTATTCAACTCCCCATTTTATACAACCCAAGGACCCACAGCAGGCGCTGTGCAGCTTCAACTTACAATGAGACCTAAACTTCCACCTCCTGATGGTAAGGAAGAGAACGACTATAGAATGTTGCTACGATATGCCGGTAAGGACAAAGGCATAGGACTGATCATAGACATAGACATATTGTATTTAAGAATCATACTTCATCCACCTCATCATACTCCACAAATGATACGGTAGACCCACCAACTAGTGGTCGGCGACCACTGATGGTAGAGAACTGACATATCTTGGATGGGTGATCGATGTCCATTCGAAAGGGATCTCGTGCCTTCACGCTGGAGATTTCACCAGAGTCACAAATTGGCCCTTCACTTTTGTTTCAACCGTATCCTTTTTACCATGGTAGAAAAAGCGCATGAGATCTTGCATGGACAGCCTAAAGAATGTGAGCTTACACTTCTGTACTGCTTCTTTTAAAAACCTATAGTGGAGGTTCACATCGGATGAGGATATGGTATATACATCGTTACTAGAGTTAAGACGTAGAGGGGATGACTTAACTTCGAGCGGAGCCTCTGCGCATGTGATTTGCAGAGTGACCGTGTATGCCGAGGACGGAGCATCTCTAAAAGTTGCTGCTACAGTTGCAGACTCAGGCAGTTGCTTGAAGTACCTGCCGTTGGCTGGAGGGTACTTAGCATAAGACTGGGTACCCAGCAGAGCGAAGATACCAATATTGAGTAGGATCAGGACCATGACGATTTGTTTTACTGAAAGGTTGATGTTAGTCGCTCCACCAACACAAAAAAGAGGATAAGACTAACAGAAAAAAGTTCCCTCACAAAATTACAAAGTACTCGCTATCCATGAAGTTCGACCGGTCCTTAGTCATGTTTCAGAATTATTTTGATCAAGCCAATGGCCATTGGTGAAGAACAGCACTGACATTAGCGCTAGATAATGAGTTAGTCCTCAGAAGATGTTTACAACTCGAAGTCCAATCACATCCTGATGGAGCCGTAAAGGTCCCAGAAGTCTCCCTCGTGACGGGGTCTCGCTGCTTTACCAACATCGATCAACTCGCGTACTTCACGTGAAACGCTACGAATGAACAAGATTCCTGTTAGTAGTAACACCCGCACTGGTTGACTCAACAACACTAAGAATAGCCGTAATAGGTAATAAGGCTCCTTATCTTATCCATTTCAGCCTGAGGGCTGCGAGATGTTTCATCCAACCAGTAATGGGCGAGCTGTTCCCGCTCCCTACGGCGTGACGGCCACTTCGTGACTCACGCGACAGACGCTCCACAAATACTCTACGTCACCACGTCACGTGATGGGTGATAGACGTAAGCTCGGTTTTTTTACGAACTACCTTTTTCCAACCAACACAACTCTGCTTGTGTCATTCCCGTCAAATCCGACGACGACCACTGTCCAACACAGAACGAGATTCGTGCACACGTACGCGAACAATTCCGCACGAGCTTGTGCGGGCTAGACCTCCCAAGCGCCGTTCACGAGTAGACCGACTGTAGGGAAAAAGAAGTCAAGACAGAAAGGGTCACCGTTGGAAGCGACTGCTCAGATTGTTGTAGTGGTACCTCTATGCGCGACAGTCCCCTCCCCTAGTCGGCGACAACGTCACTGATTGATGTAACGTCGGGTTACGAGAGCCTCGCGACTAATAGTCGCGGTTATATCCTTATACAACGTTTCGCTCCTGCTTTGGAAAGGCCTCTGTGCTGAGGCTGTGTGACGAAGTGATTAACTCAACCTTCACCAGTCTCACCAATTGAATACTGAATCTGTAACTTTACGCAGTAACCATAATTGTAGTGTGATCAGCTAAGATATCTGTAAGCTCGCACAACGAAAGATACAATTGAACACAATGGGGCAGTACGAGTGACCTTATACTTCCGTACATGTCCCTGGCACAACAACTTAACTAAGAAGGGCTCGCATCCGCACAGATGCTCTCGCGTGCGTGCGACCTACTTGGGTGACCTAAGTTAGGTCACCGCTAGTGCACAATCTATTAGGCTATGTGTTTGCGTGTCCCATTGTTCATTGTTAGTGCTTTGGGAGCATCACGAATTGCCCATTATTCTCACCGATCGAGCTTATTGATTATATGACATCGGTATCAGATATGCCACCCTCATTCCTAATGAATGACTCCGACTCTCAAATGATCTGAGTTGTCACTGAGAAGAACCATACTCGAGCCCTGAGACGCTACAATTCCATAATAACCTCGTAGGACCTACGACGTACGTGTAAGCTTCAACGAATCCCTTGATAAAGGATCTCAGAAGGGCAATGGGATCTCGAGGTGGTGCTCGTGCAGTCTGTGTGATTTAGTGGCGTCGCTACCCTGATTCTGGCTTATGCCGGTGGCCCACGAGGGCACGAAAACAGTAGAAACAATGAATATCACGTGAAATGCTGTGAGTTATTCAAATGATATGGTGTGATTTGTCCGGTGTAAGTGATTCCAATTCATTTAATATTGCGAATATTCGCAATATTAAATGAATTGAAGAATGCAGAATCGTGCAGAATGATAATCTTCAACGCAGCGTCCAGTTTTAAGAAAGAGAGAGTTTTCTTGGAAGGTTATAAACTTCTCAAGATCAGATAGATACTTTCGGAGCTCCGACACTGTCGGAGAGACAGTCATAAGCTGTGTTGGAATATATGTTCGCTCTCCTCAGCTGAGCTCAAGAGTTACCCGCTTATTATAGAAATTTATATTATATCCGAATTCGAGTTCAAATTGTATACAAACTCGGATAGAAATGTTCAGCAGCCAACAAGAATTTGCCAAACCTTACTCAGAATTTCCATGTTGTGACTGACACATGTAGTTGACCGTGTGCATATTTCCTCATTATGGTTTTAAGTTCTCCCTCACCAAACACAACAATGGTGTTTCTATAGTGAAATTCTTGAGTAAGGAGGTGTGAGACTAATCTGTCAAGACTTATTGGGAGAAATGAGAAGCCGTAATGCTTTTTGAAATGGGGAATCCCTAACATCTGATGTTCCTAGGATTCGTCGTTAGCAGAGAACGGCTAAGGGGAAGAAATTCTTCTCGAATAATGAACGCGAGCGATTGGATAGAATAAATGCTCAAGATGGTTTTTCTACGAATCATGATCATGCTATGATTACTGGCCTCTGAAGCTTGTAGTTTTGAGATCCGCAACACACATGTACTCGAGTATGTTGCATTCACCTGCAAAAGGACGACTTTGTGGATGTCACGATGAGTGTCGAAGCTCACCGTAACCGGAAACTCCTCGCTTCAGGTAAAAGTACCCATCTTGACCCCAGGAAGTTCCCCAAGAATTTCTGCCGATGAAGTAACTGATAAAAGAATTTGCAGTAAACATCCACATCGTGATATTTCCACTCCTCTCCATTTTCGTTTCCATAACCAACCGCCACAACAGCGTGATCAA